GACATCAGGGGAAGTAGCTGGCTGAGGCCCTGAGGCTAGAGAATACCTGGTAAATTTCAATGTGAGAGGGCAGAATGAATGTGGGGAAATGAGGTCGGAAAGAAGGGAGGGATAATGGGCAACAGATATATGAAATGATGCTCAACATCACTAGCAATTGAGAAAATGTAAATCAAAACCACAATATACCACCTCCCACCTGTTAGAATGGCTATTATCTACAAAACAAGTAATAACAAGTGTTGGAGAGATTGTGGGAAAAAAGGAAACTTCATACACTGCTTGTGGTAATATTAAGTTTGTACAGCCTCTGTGGAAAACAGTATGGAGGTTCCTCAAGAAACTGAGAACAGACTTAGCATATGACCCAGCAATCCCTCTTCCAGGTATTCATCCAAAAAATTTGAAATAATTTATTTGTAAAGGTATATGCACCCATATGTTCATTGCAGCATTATTCATGATGGCCAAGACATGGAAGCAACTGAAGTGTCCTTGTTAGACAATTGGATAAAGAAGATGTGGTGCATATATACAATGGAATATTTCTCAGCCATAAGAAAAGATGAAATACTGACATTTACGACAACATGGATAGATCTGGAGATTATCATGCTAAACGAGATAAGTAAGACAAAAAAATGGGAACCATGTGAGATATAAAAATAAAAGCAATAAATGTGAGATATAAAAATAAAAGCAACAAATAAGACAAACAAATAAAAACATAGAAACAAACAACAGTTTAATTACCAGAGGGACCGCTAAAGGAGTGGGGGGTAGAAAAGGGTAAAGTGCGTTAAACATAAGGTGATGGAAGATTTGACTTTGTGTGGTGAACACACAATGCAATATACAGATGATGTATTATAGAACTGTACACTTGAAACCTATATAATTTTATTAACCAAAGTCACCCCAATAAATTTAATTTTTAAAAAATGTCAAAGGAAAAAGAAGCACTAGGAAAAAAAAAAGGAAGTGAGAGATGGACCAAGAGGTAATGTAGGGCCTTGCTGCCCCTTGTAAAGATATGGCTTGTATTTTGAGAGTATTTAGCAAAGGAAACTTGTAGTCTGACCTAACAAAATCACTCTGGCCACCTTGCTAAAGTGAGTCATGTCCACCCAGAGAAAGAAGATACCTGCTGAGATGGATCCCTGGTGGCTAACTGGGCTCAAAATTAAAAACAGCCTAGCAACCATGTCTAAATAGGGCTTTCATGCAAACCATGTTTCAGGGAGATGCATGTACTAAGTTTCTGTCTCCCACACTGAACTGCCTACCTCCCACACTGAACTGGCCTGACAGCACTCTGTTCCTGCCAAATAAGCCAACTTTTATAAAGCAGTTTCAACCAATAGGACTGAGACTTTCCTTGTCCAATCAGAGCTGTGCGTCTATATCTCCATTGGTCGGCTCCATTCTGACCAATCAGGACAGTGCTTTTTGGACCAATCAAACAGTGAAGATTTGTAGTCCTCATATGCATGAGGGTGGACTAATCATGGACCAAGAGTAGAGACTTCTCTGTATATGTCAGCTCCCTGCTGGTGGGCTCAGAGAGTGTGCTTTCCCTTTCCACCAAATATGGAGTACTGTGTTCCCCGGCTGAAGCTGACACACTGAAAATTTCTCATCAGACCAGAGCAGAGAAGAGCAGACAGCAGAGCAAGGCACAGTGGCGTAGACAAGGCAGAGCAGACTAGAATAGTACAGAGCAGAGCTATGTAGCGAGAGAGGGGTCGTTGACCCAGGACTGCCTCACAGCAGTGCTGTTCCACAGCCATGCTTTATCATACTTGAACTGCTTGCACTGAATAAAATTCCTTTCTTCACTGCACCCCAAATAAGGGATTGCTATTGTCACTGAATTGGTGCCAATGACCATCAGTCGACCATAGGGAGAGAGAAGGCAATGGGAGAACAAGACCATTAAGAAGTAATGGCACGTCTAAAGGAATCTACAGATTCATTGCAATCCCCATGAAAATCTTCATGACATTTTTCACAAAAATAGATAAAAATTTCTGAAATTTGCATGCAACCACAAAGGACCCCAAATAACCAAAGCAATTCTGAGAAAAAAAAAATCTAAGCCAGAAGAATCACATTCCCCAATTTCAAACTATACTACAAAGCTACAAAGTAATTAAAACAGTATGATATTGGCAGTAAAACAGACACACAGACAAATGGAACAGATATGAGAGCCCAGAAATAAACCAACACACATACGGACAACTAATTTATGACAGATGAGCCAAGAACACACAATGGAGAAAGAAAAGTCTCTTCAATAATAGATGTTGGGGAAACTGAAATACCACATGCAAAAGAATGAAACTAGACCACTATCTTACACTATACACAAAAATTAACTCAAAATGGACTAAAGACTTGAATGTAAGACCTGAAACAATAAAATACATAGAAAAAACATAGGCACTAAGCTTCTAGACATTGGTCTCAGTGGTGTTTTTGTGAATTTGATTAGAAATGCAAGGGAAACAAAAACAAATATAAACAAGTGGAACTACATCAAACTAAAAGGTTCCTGCGCAGCAAAGAAAGCCATCAACAAAACAAAAAGGCAACCAACTGAATGGGAGAATATTTTCGTAAAAGATACTTCCAATAAGAGGTTAATATACAAAAATATATAAAGAACTCATACAACTCAATCACAAAAAAGCAAACAACTTGACTAAAAAATGGATGGAGTATCTGAGTAGACATTTTTGCAAGACATACAAGTAGCCAAGAGATACATAAAAATATACTCAACATCATTAATCTTCAGAGAAATGCAAATCAAAACCACAATGAAATATCACCTCACATCTGTTAGAATGGTCATTATCAAAAAGACAAAAAATAACGAGTATTAGAACATGGAGAAAGGGAACATTTGTTCGCTACTGGTGGGACTGTAAACTGGTGCAGCCACTATGGAAAAGAGTATAGAGGTTCCTCAAAAAATTAATAGTACTACCATATGATTCAGCAATTCTTTTTCTGAGTATTTATTTGAAGAACATGAAAACATTAATTTAAAAGAGATATGTATCCCTATGTCCATTGTAGCATTATTTACACTACACAACCTAAGTATTTGTCGACAGATAAATGGATAAAGAAGATGTGAGATAGATAGATAGATAGATAGATAGAGATAGATAGATAGATAGATAGATAGATAGATAGATAGATAGATAATGGAGTATTACTCCACTATTGAAAAAAAGATGCTATATTACTCAGTTCAAACTCAAGTTGTTCAAGGATCAGTTGTACACTTCGTAGGGTCTCCACTTTAAAGGATGTGAGGATCTGGGGCAAAATGACTGGTGAGGAGAGGAACAAGCAGGATGAAACCTCAGTTCTGGAGGAATGGGTTAGAAAAGACGGGGGAGGGGACCAAGGGAAAGTGACACTTCCAAGTGCCTACAAGTGGCAAACTTCACACAGAGTGAAAGGCAACCTTAGGAGACTATGAAGAGGTGCTTCCACCATGCTCTGGGCTGCGAGATTTTCCTGACCTACTCTGAGTGAGGCTGGAGCTTTTCTGCTGTGCTTGGGACCCTCTCCAGCCAGTGAGGGGCACAACCACAGGCCACACCTCTATGCTTGGTTTTTACTCACCAGCTGAAGAATGAATTTTGTATCAGAAGCTGTGAATCATAGTGTCATTTACTGGCTGTTTGACTGTCTACCACCTGATCATTTAACCTTTGGAATCCTTGGTTTCCTTATCTGTAAAATGGAAATTTAAAAAATACCCACTGCACAGGAGTGTACCAAGGTTAAATGGGCTAATCGGTGGTACCTCATCTGAGGGAAGAAGGGAGACGAGGAATTCTCCACCTGAGCTATTTAAAAATTAAAATACCATTGCCTAGGTCCTGCCCCAGAGATTCTGATTTCATTTGCTCAGGAAAGAACCTTTGAGTCAATCTTGACTGCCTCTCTATACCCTACATTCAGTACATCATCACATCCATGTGGCTCTCCTTTTATAAAAAACTTTTTATTTTGAATTAACATTATATTTATGGAAAAGTGGTGAAAGTAGTATAGTTTTCATATACTTCTCACCCAGGTTTCCCTAATATTAACGTTTTATATAACTATGATATCCAAGAATTTAACATCAGTGCACTACTATTAACTAAAGATCTTATTAGAATTTTTTCACCAGTTTTTCTATAATGTCCTTTCTGTTGGTTTCACGATCCTATCCAGAATCCTACCATTGCCATTCTAACCCAACCTACTATCATTCTTTTTGCCTCTGCTTTTGCC